GAGGGACCCAAAGAGGACAAAGCTCGTGGATCAAATAATGGTGTGCCAAAACCTTGTCGGGGACTTCTCAGGAGGACGAGAGGACCATCACCAGGCCCCCTCAGGGAGAGCTCCACCTTCAGGTGAAGGTAGCAGTGCGGCACGCAGGTGGCAGGACAGGAGCAGAGAGTGGCCTGCATGGGGGACGCACAAGTTTGTCCGGGGACCGGCAGGGCGCAGGGGGTGGGGAGGTGGAGGTGCCGCTCTAATCCAGTGCATGATCTCGGCACGGTGCCAGGCAAGCACAGAGATGACACCGTAAAAGACTCTTGAATATGACAGTCACTTCAGCTATGGGTGAGAGCTCAACCCTGAATTCTGCTAATTCTATCGAAGCCTTAGAACGCTGGACAGATGAACAGACGTGAGGCTCAGAGAAAGCCATCAAAGACCTGCCCAGCCCCCAAATCTCCCTGCCCCGCAGCTCCACCCTCACCCCACCCATAAGGTCTGTCTCCCCCCCACCTCCAGGGTCCTGTGTGGGGTGGAGGAGGGAGGCTCAGGGGGCAGAACCAGCTGCCATCATGGCTCCCATGCAGTGGTCACTGCACCGCCCTGTTGGAAGCAGAGAGCAACCTCGGCAGAGGAGCAGCTACTCCCCGGTGCAGCTTCTCTCCCGCCACCAAACAGGCAGAATGCCCAGCACTAAGCAGAGGGCAGTCGGCATGCCAGGGCCAGGGGCTGCCTTGATGCTGTACACACTTCTGAGAGAGGGTGGCCTCCCTGCTGTCTGCTCTGCAGGGGTGCAGCCTGCCGGGTGGCCCCTGGGAGCCACACTCCGCCCTGCCCCTCGGGTGCATTCACTCCTCCTAAACAATCTGCGGAGCCCTCGCAGCATGAGTGGGCACGGTGTGGCACTGTGCTCAGCACTATGTAAGAGTAACCTGCTCCTTCCACATGACCCATGCAGTTCTACAAAGCATCCCTACACCTCCTTTGATCCTTACGAAAACCTGGCAGATCATGCATTTTTATTTCCTGGGGTTTGGGCTTTAGGTTTTTTTTTTTTTTTACTTGTTTGCCTTTTCTTTTTTTAACGTATTCATTGAGATGATGCATACTAGATTAAACTGTGCAAGTTGATGGGTTTGGCCATATGTATACACCTGTGAAAACTTCACCACAGTCGAGATAAACATCACTATCACCTCTAAAAGAGTTCTCTTGGCCCCTTGGCAGTCCCTCCTTTTCCCTCCCTGTCCCCAGCCCCAGGCAACTGCTGATCTGCTTTCTGACATTCTAGTTTAGTTAGCAGTTTCTAGAATTGTGCATAAACAGAGTTGTTCTATATGTACCTTTTTTTTAATCTGGCTTCTTTGATTCAGCATATTTTCCTATTACTGATGAAAAAAATGGAGCCTTGATGAGGAAACGTAGGTAGTCAGCAATCATAAAGCAGCAGAGGTATTGCAGGTGTCCTGGCTCTGAGCCTGATACGCTGTCTGCAGCACTCGGTTCACTCATGGCTCATTCATTCATTCACCAGAGATTAACTGGGCATTTGGGTGGGCTAAGCCCTGGGCTGGATGTCAGAACCATAATGGTGCACAAAGCAGACACAGCCCCTACCCTCATGGGATTGCACTTCGTTCATTCATTCATTCATTCATTCATCCATCCATCGGCTTAACAAATAATCACTGCACATCCACAGAAAACTGTGAACTGGGCGCTGCCCCACCACTTTCTTCACCACCCTGATGCTCGTTAACCATCTTCCTATCTGCCACTTTGAGCGGGACAATGGGGTGATGCAGACAGAGATCATCAGAGGTGATGTTCTGTCCTCCAGTATCATGTAGAGCAGAAGGAAAACTAGTAGGTACTATCCTGCACTCTGCAAGCGAACGCCAGAGCTTCAGGGCTAAGGCCGACCCTGCAGGAGGCAGCACTTCCAGTGTGAACGTGAACGTGCGTGATCCAGGCGGAGGATGGGAGCTCAGGGGAAGGGGAGGGCTCTCCGAGCTGGCCTGGCCAGAGCGGGCTCCTCAGACAGGGTGGGACCTGCACGGTCCCCTGTGAGCCAGGAGGAGAGGTGTGCCAGGCAGGAGCAAACCAGGGACAAAGACATAGAGGCAGGGTGGGGTGGAGAGGATCAGGAAGACAGCTGAGAATTCCTCCTGGGTCAGTGTGAGGCCACAAAAACAGGCTTTCTGCCTGCACCTGTGTTACATTGTGTTTCTTTGTGGAGCTGGAGCCAGAGGAAGGGAAATGGGGAGGGTAATTAGTCACAATTTTGTAATAATTTACAATTTACTAAGTGCGCTTACTGTTGTTATCTTCTTTAGTCAGTATAATCTCTGAAGTGAGAGTTACCATTATTTTTCCCATTTTACAGATTAGAAAACTGAGGTGCATAAAAATCCCGTGATTGGCACAAAAATTCACAACTCCTAAGTGAGAGGGCAGAGCGTCAAGTCAGGACTCTTGTCCCCAAGACCAGTTCTCTTTTCCCCATGTCTATAATCATCATTTACTAATCTGAATGGCGCCCATGCACAGATGTAGAGCACGCTTCTGTAGACCACAGAATACATTGTTTGAACTTGGCAATGTCCTCCCACCTGCCACACCACCGACCCTCTTCAGCTACCTTCCCATCTGCCGTTATGAGCTGGGAATGGAGATCAGGAGGAGGAAGAAGGCAAATGGCATGGCGCTCAGGAGAGGAAGTTAATTATTTGGCCAAGGAGCTCTCCCTAATCCCCACATGCTTTCTGCCTCTGGCCTCCAGAGAAGGTTCCTAATAAGGGCTCCCCACCAGCCACTCAGAAGTGGTTCCCAAGGCCTTGCCCCAGAGGCCCCGGATGGTACCCCATCCTCTCAGTCTGGAGAATGGGGGATGGAATTCACACCCAGAAGGAGAAAAGCAGGGTCACTCCCAGGGCCAGGACCCCAAAGGAGAAAAAACTACAGCTCTGATGTCACAAGTCTCCCTCGCTGAGTGGCCCGGGACACACCCCCTAACTGGTCATATGGGTCACCATGAAGGAAGAGCTAACATTTCTCCAGGGCTTACTGTGCACAGAGTCAGGGCTCCAGCTCACGTCGACTGTTCCCGGCTCAGAGCTCCTACCCACTGCTCCATCCTGCCCTTACTCACCCCAGTGCTCAGCAAGAGCCAACACCTGTCGCCAAGGGCCAGCGTTGGACATGCTTGGTGGCAGGCACACCCTTCCCCACTCCACAGCCAAGCAGGCGGCATCTCAGTGAAACCAGGCAGCTTTCAGAGGCCACACACCCCTAAAATGTAGGGCAGGGGCCCCACTAGGCCCGGCCATCCAGACCTGAGCTCCACAGTTGATCTGAGAAAAGAGGGCATGGGACTGACGGGGCTCGGAGCACCCCCACTTCCGCGGCCCCACCCGCAGGTCCCCACAAGGCCTCCACTTCCACGCACGGGTCCTGTGGTCTAGCAGAAAAGGCCCTGGGCCAGGAGGCAGGCTCGGCTCAGGGATCTGTACCCCTAGAATGATCTTGGAAAGACCACTTGGTCCCTGTGACCTGGTTTTCCCATCTGTAAAATGGAAACAACATTTTCCAAATGCACACAGTTATTGGAGTTTAGTGAGACAAGCAAGTGTGGAATTATTTTGAAAAGGCTAGAACACTGTATACTTCAAGGTATATCCTTATATATGAAACTCCAAGGTTCTGACTGCCATGATTTTACATCTCTTCCACCTATACTCCATCTTCGTGGCCTGTGTCCTTGAGTTGAAACTGAAGCCTGAGTGGACCCGCAGAAGGAAACCTAGTCTGTGTTTGTACATACCCAAGCCCACTGGGCACACTCTTCTTAACCCTGCCCCAACTGCATGAGAGCATGCGCACACACACACACACACACACACACACCTACTTCCCACCTGCCTAAAATGATTTTTCCAAAGAAAATCATTCCCCATAAACATCAGAAATGTATGTCCAAAAAATACCAATGGTTGTTGGCTTCTAAAGTTCCTACCATGTAGGGGCGCCTGGGGGGCTTAGTCGGTTAAGCGTCCGACTTTTGCTTGGGTCATGATCTCGCGGTTCGTGGGTTCGAGCCCTGCGTCAGGCTCTGTGCTGACTGCCAGCTCGGAGCCTGGAGCCTATTTCGGAGTCTGTGTCTCCCTCTCTCCTGACCCTCCCCTGCTCGCGCTGTCTCTCTCTCTCTCTCTCTCTCTTTCCTAGAAATAAATAAAAATATTTTTAAAAAAATAAATAAAGTTCCTACCATGTGAAGAAGTTGGCCAAAATAATGGCTACAATTTAATGCTCTTTCCACCAGATAGAGCATTTTACATATACCGTCTTATTTAATGTAGTCTCCAAACAGCCCTGGCAGTGACTTACAGAGGAGGGGCTCGGGCCCAGAGGGCTTGCACTACTGCAGAGGGTCCGTCCACTGCCCACCCACCTCTGTGCTCTCGTTCTCCCTTCGCAGCAGAATCATCTGGGCTCTTGCGCCCACTCGCCCCAGCACTTGGCCCCGGAGGGGGTGGTAGAGGTAAGGAGGAATGTGTGACACATGAGAGAAAGAAGCTGGCTCAGGTGGCAGGGAAAAGTGTTGGGGGAACTGACGGACATCAAGACATAAATTTATCTACTTTGTCATTAAGAAACGTTGACTTCCTCTTTCACGATGGCCTTTCTCTGCCGTCGTATATGGAGACCATCTCTGGCTGGAGGACGTCTTCCCCTCTCGGCCAGGCTCCTTTGCAATTTCATCTAGTGGTTAGTGTGTGCAAGCTCAGGGGGTGTGAGTAGCTCTCAAGGCCACTCACGTTTCAAGCAGCCACGTGGTTCCTTCCCAAGCTAAAAATGTCATTATTAACCCATGGGTGTGCCTTACCACAATGATCCGGGGCCCAGGGTAGCCGATCCTGGCTCCTGCGTGATGACCTTCTTCCTCTCCACAGCTTGCGGCAGGCAGGGAACACTGACGGTCTTCATGCTACTCTCCTGACTCCCCTAGGATGGATGTGTGTGGCTGGAAAGAAATGGAGGTTGCTCTGGTCAATTTTGACAACTCCGATGAAATCCAGGAAGAGCCAGGCTATGCCACAGACTTTGACCCAACCAGCCCAAAAGGCCGGCCTGGGAGCAGCCCCTTCTCCAACTGGAAGATCCTCATTGGTGACAGCAGCAGCCACGAAACGGCCTTCTCCAAGCTCGCAGGAGATTATGTGGACTCCCCAGGGCCGGAGCCAGCAGTCTTGAATGAAGGAAACCAGCGGGTGATCATCAACATTGCTGGGCTGAGGTTCGAGACCCAACTCAGAACTCTCAATCAGTTCCCAGAGACCCTTCTGGGAGACCGGGAGAAAAGGATGCAGTTCTTCGACTCCATGAGAAATGAGTATTTCTTTGACAGGAACCGGCCCAGTTTTGATGGAATCCTGTATTATTACCAATCGGGCGGGAAAATCCGGCGCCCAGCCAACGTCCCAATCGACGTCTTTGCTGATGAAATCTCCTTCTATGAGCTGGGAAACGAGGCCATGGACCAGTTCCGGGAAGATGAGGGCTTCATCAAGGATCCCGAGACACTGCTCCCCACCAATGACTTCCACCGGCAGTTCTGGCTCCTCTTCGAGTACCCTGAGAGCTCTAGCGCCGCCCGGGGTGTGGCCGTCGTCTCTGTGTTGGTCGTGGTCATCTCCATCACCATCTTCTGCCTGGAAACGCTACCGGAGTTCCGGGAGGAGAGGGAACTAAAGATGGTGAGAGACCCCAGCCTCAACGTGAGCAAGGCGGCCCTCTCCCACACCATGTTCACTGACCCCTTCTTCATGGTAGAGTCTACCTGCATCATGTGGTTCACCTTTGAACTGGTGCTCCGCTTCGTGGTCTGCCCCAGCAAGACCGACTTCTTCAGGAACATCATGAACATCATCGACATCATCTCCATCATCCCCTACTTTGCGGCCCTCATCACGGAGCTGGTCCAGGAGACAGAGCCCAGCACCCAGCAGAACATGTCCCTGGCCATCCTGAGGATCATCCGGCTGGTGCGCGTCTTCCGCATCTTCAAGCTCTCCCGGCACTCCAAGGGACTGCAGATCCTGGGCCAGACGCTGAAGGCTTCCATGCGGGAGCTGGGCTTGCTCATCTTCTTCCTCTTCATTGGGGTCATCCTCTTCTCCAGCGCCGTCTACTTTGCCGAGGTGGATGAGCCAGAGTCCCACTTCTCTAGCATTCCTGATGGCTTCTGGTGGGCAGTGGTCACCATGACAACTGTGGGCTATGGTGACATGTGCCCGACCACCCCCGGGGGAAAGATTGTGGGCACTCTGTGCGCCATCGCGGGGGTCCTCACCATTGCCCTCCCTGTGCCCGTCATTGTCTCCAACTTTAACTACTTCTACCATCGGGAGACTGAGAATGAGGAGAAGCAAAACATCCCAGGTGAGATCGACAAAATCCTCAACAGTGTGGGCTCAAGAATGGGCAGTACAGACTCTCTTAGCAAGACCAATGGTGGCTGCTCCACGGAGAGGTCCAGGAAGTGACCTGCCCAGGGTCCCTTGGATCCCTGAGTCTCCCTGTGTCTCTTTGTCTCCCTCCCCACCCCCACAGCTTCTCTCTCCTCCCTGCCTCTTGCTCTCCATTTTCCTAAAGACTGTAGTTCATCCTTTGTGAACAGCAGGCCATCTTTGACTACAAGCTGTTTGAATCAACCCAGACTTCCTCTCTATTTTGCAAGCTCTTTCCTCTCAACCAACTGTCGGAAGATTCCATTCTCCTTTCCCATGAAGGGCAGTTCTGGTCCTGGCTGCTCACCTGTGGTCCCCAAGACCGGCAGTACTGGGATCACCTGGGAGCAAGGAAATGCAGAATGGGAGTCCACCTCGGACCTACTGAATCAGAAGTCTCCCTGTAATAAGATCCCGAGTGATTCTTTTCCACATTAGAGATGAAGAGCCCTGGCTTTGGTCTTCCCAAGAGGAGGCTTATTAAGAGGCCGGGGATTGCTGCGAGCAATGAGCTCCGCGTTGTTTAATAATAATATCTCACACTTCTGTCACGTTGCATAAATTTTCCAAAGCTCTTTCACCAACACAATCTCACTGCATCTCAAAATAACCAGCAGAACAGATTTGGTTCTCATTCTCACGTTGTAGGTGAGCAAACCCGGGGACAGCGACTCACCCGGAAATGGTGACAGAGCCGATGCTGGAACCCACACCTACCCACTAAGCTTGTGCTTCTTCTGCTTGTGACTGCGAAGGGGCTGGGGAGAGAGAAGGGAGAGGGATGTGAGGGCTCTGTCTTTCAGAGGGTCTGGGCAGCAGACTTCAGGGCAGCAACACCCTTTCCCAGGGACCCCAGCATCTGCATGGGGAGAGCAAGGGCCGGCCTGAGCTCTTGCTCTCCAGTCCCCTCCTCGGACAGCAGGCAAGCAGAAACACTCCCGGGTGCTTTCCACCTGGCCCATCTCTGTGAACTTCCGCACAGGCTGGCAATCCCGAGTGTGGGACGTGTGTGCACCAGGCCCTCAGAGCACTGCCCTGGGAAATTGGATTTGTCCACCTGCTTCGGGGTTCAGCTGCCACTGAATCATGAGGAACTGGCCAGCGGCCTGTGGGACAGCGGGTGAGGGAGGAGCAGGGCCCTAAGGGTGCACCCAGATCCCAAGCCCACCTGAGGAGGGCGGTCGGGGCAGACTCACCTGAGGAACTGCCCTCTTGGGAGCGGGTCCTTGCTCAGCCCACCAGGCTCCCAGGAAGAGGGAGTGGCATTGGAATTTCCCAAAAGGCATAGAAGGAAGCCTTTATTCTGCCCCCTCCAACCTGGCCTCTCAAGTAAGGAGCCCTGGGCCTTCCTCCGGCCTGATACCCAAGTCTGGCCATTCCTCCACACTGAGTCAGCATTGGGCTGCCAGGTCACGGGCTGACCTGGGCCCCTGGGCCACAGGTCACTGCCCAACCCCACGTCACACAGCCCAAACCACACAATACACAACACACGATCCTGGAACACACCCAGCTCACACAACCCTGCGAAACACAATGCTGTAGCCGCAGACACCACCATCCAGCTTCTGTTCCGTGACAGCCTAACAAAATTTACTGGTGTGAGAGAGAGCTGCTCCTCTCCTTTCTTGTTGTCCTGAGTCTACGCCCTAAGTAGCTGGATTTAATTATCTTTAAGCTCCCTTCCTGCTCCAGAAACTCCAGTCTCCATTAGCTCCAAGTTCTCCCTTAGAACTGAGTCATGGGAAGCCTGGGCTTTAGACAAGACATTGGCAAGTGGGACTCCTGTCCCAGGCCTGAGTCTCAGGAATTTTCTAAGTTCCTTTCTAATTGCTCTCCTTCAGGGCACTCTCCACTTGCCTCACTCCCAAGCCTGTGGGGTTGACCAGATGTCCTGGATTCAAACATGTGGGAATCATGCTGAAGGCCTGTGCTGGGCTCCAGTTCCAGGATGGTGGCCTGGTGAGCAGACTTTTCCCACTGTCTCCTGTGGCATTTCTTTTACAAGCTCACACAAGCTTAGGTGCCAGAAAGGTGATTTGGAGCGATACGAATTCGTCTCTACACAGAGCCCTTGCAAAAGTTATTTCTGCGAGATCCCAAGAATCCGCGGGGCGGTCTTGACCAAAGAGTCCACGTGCCTGCCTTCTCTCCTTCTGGGAGCCGCATCATCACAATTCGTCATGCTAAGACCTCTCCCACAGACGCCTGAGACCCTTTGTCCCAACCCCCTCCGTTTTGTCAGGTGAGGAAACCGGTTCAGAGAGGTTCGTGGGCAAACATGGTGCAGTAAAAGACCCCAGGGCAGGTGGGGCCAGTACCCCCAGAGGCCAGGATAGACTCCCAGAGCTGCAGCCCCAGCCTTTCTCTGCTAACGTAGACTAGCAGAGCAGAAGGAAGCTAGTCTGGTTCCTTAGCTGATGCCATTACTCCTGTCAGGGTTAGGAGGCCCACTCATAAGCTTCTCATGCCTGAGGGGCAGGTTCCGACCTCTGGGCAGGTGCCAGGAAATAGGGCTACAGCGGTGAGCCCTCCATTCCCCATGCCACTGCTGCCACGGGGCTGGGGTGACAGTCCCCATGTGCTAGCATCACCCCTCCAGCCACCAAGGGAGATGGGCTGTGGGGCGCCCTTGCCGTCCAGCCCCCAGCTTGCAATGAGATCTGCTGTCTGTAGGGAGCACCCAAGGTGACTCACTGACAAATGGAAAGAGGAGAGTTGGGGCAGATGGGACAGCGCTGTCGAGGGGGGCAAGTGGGAAAGTTGCTCTCACTACCTGCAAGGCCAGAAGGACTCAGCGGCAGGCAGGCAGACAGCCTTGCCTGTAGGAGGAATAGAGCGAGTCTTGAGGCTTCATTCAGCGAGTTCGTATTTACCAACCTACTGTGTGGTGACACGTTATATGCGCTGAATAAAGACATAGAAAGAACAGAAAGGTCCCTTTTAATTTTCCCAGTAAAAATACTCAAGTAATGCAAGAGAAACAACAAAAACCTCTTCAGAGGGGCTACAGGGTACGGAAGGCTTCCAGACCTGTGTTTTCTTTTCCACCACATCCTTCATTTGCAAAGAGCTACGTAAGGTCAGCCGTGATCTCTCAGTCATGAAATGCAACCCTGGCTGGGGCTCTGTACTGAGGGTGAAGCTGCTTTGGATTCTGTCTCTCTCCCTCTCTCTCTGCCTCCCTTTGCTTACTCGCACACAGGCACATGCACCCTCTCTTTCAAAAATGAATAAGTAAACATTTTAAAGAAATAACCCAGAAAGGGGCACCTAGGTGGCTGAGTCGTTTAAGCATCCAACTTTGGCTCAGGGAGTGACCTCGCAGTTGGTGAGTTCAAGCCCCGCACCGGGCTCTCTGCTGTCAGTGTAGAACCCGCTTCTGATCCTGTTTCTCTCTCTCTCTCTCTCTCTCTCTGCCCCTCCCTGCTCATGCTCTCTCTCCCTCTCTCTAAAAAATAAAACTCAAGTGTTTTTGAGTGGGAAGCTCTCTAGATTTGGCCTCAAAGGACTTGGCTCAAATTGTATGAACTGTAGGACTCTGAGCCTCAATGGACCTCAGTTTCCTTATGTGGAAATAAAAATGGAGATAAAAAAATTCTGACCTCGCAGCAAACGTGGTAGGATTCTCCGTGCCCCACCACCAGGGGGCTGCCCTCTCCTCAACCAACCTGGTCAACGGGGTTCCTCAGGACCTCCACAGGCTGCCAAAGTGGCTGCTCAGAGACAGCCCTCTGTCAGAGACAGTCCCTTGTGATTCCCTACTTCTCTGCTTGTTACATGTGTACTTGCCATCTTTGAGCTTACTTCCACATCTGAAAAATGGGCAGAATTACACCCACCTCCCCAGGCTGTTGGGAGGAATCAGTGATGGGGTGTTCCTAAAAGTGATGAGGTTGGCAAGCACCACACCAAAGAAAGGAACAATCGCTCTTTAAAAGCTATCATTTTAGGAGTTCCTGGGGGGCTCAGTCGGTTAAGTGTCTGACATCAGCTCAGGTCATGATCTCGCGGTTTGTAAGTTTGAGCCCCACATAGGGCTTGCTGCTGTCAGGGTGGAGCCTGCTTCAGATCCTCTCTCCCCCACTAGCTCAGTCCCTCCCCCATTCCTGTTAGCACTCTCTCTCTCGAAAGTAAATAAAATATTTTTTTTAAAAAATCTGTCACTTTAGACCAATCAGCACCGCCCAAATACAGACAGAACGTGCCTTTGCAATCCACATCAGATCCTGACCTAAGCAGAAGACAGCACTGATTTCAAAGATAGCATAAAATAGAATGAGCTGATGTGGGAAAGGAAAAGAAGTAGGAACCGGATACCATCATGTTCAATAACCAACGACCTGTTCAGGCTGCTCTACACACCTGTCCTTTCCTTTCAACTGAAACAGCCCCTCTGAGCCAGGTATCACTTCATTTTACAGATGAGAAAACGGAAGCTTCAGAAAGTTAAGTAACCTGTCCCGACTGTAGACTATGGGGAAGTCATGGCAGGTACCCCAAATGCAGGGAGCACAAAATCAGGGTGATCGGACATATGGTACTCCAATTGTCCTACCCCTCACCTTCTTGCCCAAATAACCAACCCCTCTGTGGGTCACCCTCAGTTCACCCCCCCACGTGCAAACAAAAGGTGGGCAACATTCCCTGTGGCTCTGGGGCTTCAGAGAGACTGAGGTTGGAGCCTCATTCTGTCCCCGTTGCCCATGCAAAGGCCACTCAGAGGAGCTCTGCAGGAGCTCTGGGACAGCCTCCCGGGCTCAGACCTGTCCTGCATTATGGCCCAGAGGGGAGGCCACCCAAGACGCTGCTCACACAGAGGGTCCCTGCCTGCCCTCTCAGCTCCGGTGGCCCTGCCCCGCCCCCAGGGGCCCCATCACTCACGGGGCTCCCTGGGGGGTGCACACTGGTGCAGGGGCACACTGGGCAGGCCGCTTCCTGTACCAGGTGACACAAACTCAACTAAGGACTTTATCAGCTCACGTGACTGAGAAATTCAGGACAAGAGCAGATTGTAGGTGAGGCCAGGGACTCCA